TAAGGTGTGAGCGCTAATTAATAATCCCATTGCTTTTCCCAATTAGCAGCCTATTCTGGGTAGGGCTGGATCTGTAGATCTCATGATCAATGTTCCATCCAGATGTGGAATAAATGTTATGCACCTAGGGATGTGCACCACTAGTAGAAACACAGGCTGCCAGCAGTGGGCGCTCTGCTAAGCAGTTGAGTGACAGTCAAAGCTCTTTTGGGTGGTGCCAAAGTGCACTGCTTTTAGGGAACACTGTTCCTCACTCCAAGAAAGGAAATTTTTAGGTAAGGCACAGATCAATTTTCCTCCTCGTATTCACAATAAGGTCTACAGATCCGGGACTCTGCGATTTACACAGCAGTGCCAACTTGGGAAGAGAAAGGGGGAAATGATAGACAGTTGTACACTGATGCAAAGGGGTAACCCTTTCCTAGTCATTAGTGGTATTCTACAGTGAGGAGCAACCCTGTACGGAACGAGGAATCGCATTATGATGGGAAAGCCAACTTGAAGAATTTGGAGAACACATGACGACATGGGCTGCTTTACACATGTACTCATATGAAGCATCCGATCTCACACGTACTCGTATGAAGCTGCCACAGCTCCAGGAGACTCATGTGGGAAGACAGTTACCCCTTCTGACTTCAGTGCTTTGAGGGGCAATCGCTTAGCCACCTGGAAAACAGAAATTTTTGAAGCCTTCTCTCCCTTTGACTCTGGAAGAGAAAACACCAACAGTGCAGGTGTCTTTCTGAACGGAGGGTAGATGTTTTTTGAGAACTCTGTGGATGTCCAAAGAATGCCACTCTCTGTGCGGGGAGTGACAGAACTGGACAGAATGATGAAATGACCATTTTCTACCAATTTCCTGTGCTTTCTGAAGCCTGGGCTTAATCTCTACTATGAACACGATGTCTTCTCGGAGTCCCGCTTTATCTCTGAGAAAGGCGCAACGCGGATTGAAATCCCAGGAAAAACAGCCTCAGCTCAGACACCGTGTGAGCTGAAACAACTGCTCGCAAAGGGCTGCTTTCATGGTTTGAAGGTAATGAAACACCTTCAGGAGTGGTTCAAACGGAGCATCGGTAACGGCACTGGGAGCCAGGTTAAAATCCCATGAAAGAATTCTGCTACGTCTTCATGAAGAGCACAGAGATGCTGCTGGAAAAACCCCCACAGGGGACGAGAGGAAACACACTACGTTCCCACTGCATGAAGGATGCTGACAATGACAATTTGATCGTGAAGGTGTATGAATGCCAGGCCCAGGCCTATGTTCATCTTGAAGAAATAGAAGGATCCATGGCACTGAGGCAGACATAAGGTGAACTAGGGATGTAACAGTGTAGTTGATTAACTGATTAACCAATAAGCAAAAGCGTATCGGTTAATGCTAAAGACGACCCGCATTTTCCTTCCCCCTCCCCACTCCGTACATTTTCTAGCAGGCTGGCCAGCAGCCCGGCTCAGTCCTGGCTTGCAATGGGTCCGGGACCTACCCCCGCTGTGGCTCTGCATTTAAAGTGTATTAAGAGCCAGGCGGGCAGGCAGCCCGGCTCAGTTCCGGCTCGACAATTCAATTAACCAACATTAACTTCTCTAAGGTGAATCCCTTTCCCCAATACCAATGAGCCCTGGAATAGACTAGATTTCTTTCTGGAAGCTGAAAGCATGGCTATTGCCTCTCTTGAGCCATCTCTTTGGCTTAAGACACTCCGTTCAGGAGCAAGGCTCAGACAGACTGGATTCCGCTACATGATTCTTAACGGTTTTCATGCCTGAATGAGACCGAGATGCTGCCAGCCAGGACATGGCGAGATGGAGGGAGCTGTATCTGTAAACATCTCTTGTGGTTACAAGTACTGAGTCCCTGGCCACCTGGAAAAGTAGCTTCGTTTATCTTTGGCAGTGATAAACTGAGGATCTTTCTGGGCAGACAGACTGGATTCCGCTACATGATTCTTAACGGTTTTCATGCCTGAATGAGACCGAGATGCTGCCAGCCAGGACATGGCGAGATGGAGGGAGCTGTATCTGTAAACATCTCTTGTGGTTACAAGTACTGAGTCCCTGGCCACCTGGAAAAGTAGCTTCGTTTATCTTTGGCAGTGATAAACTGAGGATCTTTCTGGGTGGGTGGGTG